TCGGAGCCAACCGCCTTATCTCATCCACTTTAGCAGAGTGTACTGAGTGAACCTTGAGATTACGCATGTTTACATGTCTTATCGCCAAATCCCCGATAAAGAGCGACTCAGCTGCATTTGACCTTGACTGAGACTGAGACTGGGACTGAGAGACTACTGCTGATTCATCTTCCAAAAGTGGTGAAAAGCGGTTTCTTGTAATTAAAGATTTTTGCTGTGGCATTATGACACTCTTGTTATCATTAGCTTTGTCTTGTTTGGGCTTGGCACCATATGTGTTCCAACAATTGTCTCTGCTGATTTTGGGAAATGAAATAGCGTCATCATAACTTACGTGCTGTCCATTTGGTCCATTTCCTTTCACTGGTATTGTTGTGTTCAGCCCCAGTTCTGATTCAAGCACAAACATTCGGTCTTGAAGAAGTTTTAGCTCCTGTTTGAGTGAAAAACAGCCGTCGCAAAGTTTTGTTCTTTTTTCCCGTCCTCCCGACATGCTGTAAGTTAGGTAAATTCCACAAGTCTTGTGTTGAAGTTTGTAAAAAGGAGTAATCCGTGTTTTGTGGAATAAAAATGTAAGCAAAAATGATTAAAGGAGATAAAAAAGCAGCAAGCGAGGAGCAGCAAGAGAATGCGACTGCATTCTCTTGTGTTGTAAGTATAAAACTAATCTCTGTCTTATTTTGTGCTTTTCCAGAAAAAAACTGTTGCTAGAACCATTGACACCTATACTTTTGTAGAGCCTTGTTTCCTAAAAGCGCTATACAACTATGATTATAGAAGTAGTAATAGTTTTATGATTATGATTATTATTAGGGTTATTCTTAGAGGATAGTTTCAGATATATATCTTTAACTTTAAAATAGATACTAGACTCAATTTTGTGTATATTAATATTGATTTTTGTGGTTAAGACATGTCTTTTTCTCACACAACACATGCATTCTAATAAGATCAAAACAGAATGTTGTCATCTGATTTATTCACAACATTTTCCTTTTTACGAAACTCTTTTGGTTGAGACAAACAACATGTAATATATATGAATAATAAAAGGTACAGCATGCAGCTTTCAACATTGCAAAACCAAAGTAGGTGTAGAGAGAAGCTAATAATAAGTATTGACAAGTCAGTACGAGCCCTGAGTCAGGCTTGTGTCCTGGTCAAAAACATTTATCCTTATTTAATAGAAAAAAAACATTCACTCTTGAAAAATCAAAGGCTTTCAAAAGTCTGAAGGCCTACAATTATCTTGTTTCAATAAAAGTTGGATCAAACAAAGTCGAGTGCTAAAAGCAATGGTCAGACCAGGCCAAACAGACAAGGCTCTACAAAACCTTTTATCAGGCTCGCATCCGGCTCTACAGGCAAAAGTGAAGTCCCTGCTTGCACAAAACGCTTTACAATGTTCAGAGTTCAGATATTTTTCCATTCTCTCCACACACGGTGACGACGAAACTAAGACAGCAAACACACCGGTCCATCAAAGCCTCAGACCACCATCCATTCATTCACTCAATACATTCAAACCTATTGTGCATGGTTTTAGTGGTAGGGGAAACTGGAGCACCTGGAGGAGAACATGCAAACTCCACTCAGGAAGTTCTAGAGGTGGAATCAAACTCAGGACCATAGAATATGAATATGGTAGTGTCCCAACAAAAGGCTGACAGTGAATAAAAACAATATTTTTCGGTTTGTATGTGTTGTTTCTTTTTAAACGTGGCATCAGTGAACGGAGAATTCTAATGTCAGGAGCCGTGTGGTTTAGTTCCACAGTATTGTCCTGATCTCTCATCGGGGACAGCAGGAGATAATGTGAAGAAGCAGGAACAGGAGTTCAGCCGAGGCCAAACGCTAGATTTGAAATGTCGCAGGTGTAAATGTCAGGCCGCTGTGTAGACCGTCCCTAATTACTGCATCTGACTCCAGTCTGCGCCGTGTCCTGCTGTCAGGGAGGAACCCACAACCTCTGGCCTTTTAGGAGACATGGTGCTCACTGTGATCTGCGGAGGTTACAGCTGCAGAGGCGCTAATGGCCGTGTTAGCATGCAGGGCTCGCGACGGAACAAGGTCAAACTACCTCCAGCTGACGACAATCTGGCATTTGTATAAAACTCTATTCACATGAACCAAACGTGGAGCGTGGGTCGTCACATTTGCTCTGTGCAGGGTTTTTAAACTGTGGCACACAATAATAACAAGGCCCACCACCGGCTGAAGTTGTTGACGTGTGCTAACAATAGTTTCAAATGAATGTCATAGTTATCTTGCGATCACACATTTTTATCTACTCCAGGTGTCCCCTGAAATATTGCCTTAATACTCTTCATCAACATGGAAAAGTGGACAGGCTTGCTTTATGTAGTCTGCATATGTTTACTTATTTATTTGTTTATTTGACAGGGACGTTGCACAATACATGTATTGTTCAGACCGGACATAGCTAACCCTCTATGGCATGACTTTTTATTTTAGGGGGAAAAAAATATTTCAACACACTTTTTAAGAGCTCGTGGGTCCCTAATAACATATTGATCTTTACATTTGACCCCCCCCCACCCCCCCAATCAGATAATGGTTTGTTGCTTAAAGGCAACATTGTGCGACGAGGGTACTAAAACACCAAGGTTTTCAATATTACATTGAATTAGGAAAATAATAAAACAAATACATTAGAGAAGCTTTTATTCTTTTATTTTTCAAGCTCAACTTTTTTAAACGGGTACAGAGCACTCCAGATTGCAAAAACAAAAGCAAAAACAGTTCTGAGCCTCCAGTAAGTCACACAGCTGCGGGTCTCGGTAGCCTATTGTGTATGGAACAGCAAGAAGCAGTTGCTAGTGGCTGTGAAACATCTATGTTTCACAGCCAAGACAGAGACCTGAGACCAGGACTAATGTGAGAGGACTTCAGGACAGAGACCTGAGACCAGGACTAATGTGAGAGGACTTCAGGACAGAGACCTGAGACCAGGACTAATGTGAGAGGACTTCAGGACAGAGACCTGAGACCAGGACTAATGTGAGAGGACTACAGGACAGAGACCTGAGACCTGGACTAATGTGAGAGGACTTCAGGACAGAGACCTGAGACCAGGACTAATGTGAGAGGACTTCAGGACAGAGACCTGAGACCTGGACTAATGTGAGAGGACTTCAGGACAGAGACCTGAGACCAGGACTAATGTGAGAGGACTTCAGGACAGAGACCTGAGACCAGGACTAATGTGGGAGGACTTCAGGACAGAGACCTGAGACCAGGACTAATGTGAGAGGACTTCAGGACAGAGACCTGAGACCTGGACTAATGTGAGAGGACTTCAGGACAGAGACCTGAGACCAGGACTAATGTGAGAGGACTTCAGGACAGAGACCTGAGACCAGGATTAATGTGAGAGGACTTCAGGACAGAGACCTGAGACCAGGACTAATGTGAGAGGACTTCAGGACAGAGACCTGAGACCTGGACTAATGTGAGAGGACTTCAGGACAGAGACCTGAGACCTGGACTAATGTGAGAGGAATTCAGGACAGAGACCTGAGACCAGGACTAATGTGAGAGGACTTCAGGACAGAGACTTGAGACCTGGACTAATGTGAGAGGACTTCAGGACAGAGACCTGAGACCAGGACTAATGTGAGAGGACTTCAGGACAGAGACTTGAGACCAGGACTATCGATTGGAATGTCCCTAACTCCTTCATTCTTGGACCCGTAAAACGTTATTGCATCCATTTCCTACAAGCAATAGTAGATAGATCAGAATGGAAGATAGAACAGCAAAAAACATTGAGTGTGGTGTTGATTATCCATTCAAGCACATCCCCAACCAGCAGCATTACACTGCCCAAACAAAAGTGCTACAACTGCATGATGTTGCCTTGAGGCAACAAACCTAAACGTGCAGTTTTTGTATATAAATAGAAACAAAAAACATATATTAACAATCAAATATGCTTCTTAACATATTCATGCACAGTCACATATTTATTTTATCAAGTTTTTCGAATTTAAACATGTAGAAAAGTTATATTTATCCTACCTTTTTCTGGCACTGTGTCACTTGTGACTCTGCTTCCTGAAAGGACTGCTCCACCCCCAGACAATTGCCCCCACCCACTTCAGAACTTGATTTAATTGGACAGAAACATGTCTAGTAATTTTATAAATAAAAATAAAATAAAAAAACATTAAAGGGCCAGTGTAAGAGCCAAAAGATTGGTTTGTTGCCATACAGGGTTCTAACAAGGTAATTTTCATCCGTAGTCCGTGGGAAGAGGCAACATGACAGCAGGTCTACAGCGTGCAAAGAATTAATATATTAAAATATTGACCTAATTAGCAAAATACAGGTCAACACCTTTAAACACAAAGACACAATGCAGAACGTACAGAATATACAACACACAATTATTCAAAGCCAAACCTTTGTACAGTATTTACAACAGCTGCCTCTAGTCTGTGGATGTGCCACAGCGTAACGAATGAACTGAAAAAAGGTTCTTGAAAGGGACGGTGTGGGTGCAAGTTTTAGTCCCAACCTAAGCAAGAGTACACCAGACCCCACCCAATTCCTCAAATCTTCAGGAAAAACTGGACTCACCTGAGGAAATGGTGAGGAAATACACAAGGCAACTCAGCACTTTGAGTTGCCTTGTGTATGAATTGTGCTATACAAATAAACTTGCCTTGCCTTGTGGTGTCTGGTGTACTCCTGCTTAGGTTAGGACTAAAACCTGCAGCCACACAAGTCCACTGAGAACCGGTTTGACAAAAGATGCACAGAGAGCTCTCTGCAGCCCAGCTCTCCTCTCGTCTGGTTGGATTGAGTCATGGCGTGTTATTCTCGCTGTGCAATCGCCGTCGTCCCGTCCGTGCTGAAGTGTACAGCTCCAGCCGGATGACAAACTCCCACTTGATCCCATGAACCCGCCACAGAAAAAACGCTCCCAGACCTCTCCAAGATGGCGGCTGTGTAAGAAAGCGGGACAAAACAGGGATATGTGGGATTATGAGAGCGCTTCAGTGACTGCAGATAAAGTGGTGCGCAGTCAGCAGAGCAGTGTGTCAGTATGTCTGCTCCAAGACGGGACTTTTCAAATATCCTTCAGGCTGGTGCCGCTGGTTGGTTTGAAGCGGATCGGCAAAATTACAATACGTTTGAATGAAGAAAGTGGAGAAAGTTTTCTTTGTATCCCAGTTTGATTATGTGAAAAATCTTCTTTTCTTTACTTGTCACCATGTTGCGTCATTGTCAGTGATGGGAATAACGGCGTTTTTTCAGTAACGAGTAATCTAACTAATTACTTTGACTGTAACTATAACGCCGTTATCATTGCCGACACCCCGTTACTGCGCGTTACTCAAGTCGCAAAATGAAATTATTTTTTTACTTCGTGATAGGACTCGTGTGCGTGTTGTCATGAGAGAAGGGAGGATGAGAAAACCTCTCAGCAATTATTGGCTGATGTAAATCATATTTCCTTTACAATCTACATGTCTACAGTTGAGAGGATGGCTCATAAATTGTGTTTTTGAAACAAATATGGCTCTTAATCGCGCTCAACCACGGCTTGTATCACCGTGAGGCCTCAGAGTAGCGCATGTGAGCGCAGAAGTCGGCTGCATACAATTCCATCGATAAGCTCCTTTCTCTTCCTGGTTTATCTGCTATGGGCTGCAACAGGTTTGGCTAACATACATATAACACATTTTATATAATAGATAGACAATTTAAAATGTACTTAGGGTAATTTTCCAATGACTATAGGAATGATAAGAAAGAAAGGTGAAATGTAAGACGGTTGAATTTAGAAATTGGATACACCCGGCTGCAGCTAGCAAAACAGGAGTTTATGGAGGAGATACGCGTTTTGTTTTACTTTTTAAAACTCATTGGACTCATTTCCAAATGGAGGATTACATATCTACGCTCAAACTATTATTAAACACGGAACTGGTCGAACCGAAGTGGGCTGTGCAGGTCATTTATAAGGTAAGACCCATAACTCATAGTTTTGAGTTTTGTATGAACAAATAATCCGGGCATGAAACATATTCTGCTGTAGCCAAACAAACTGTGAATAAGCCGCTCTCTAGGTCCAGTTGATTTATATGATGTATATGTTCATCTGATTGGGCTGAAGTCAGTGCTTATATATATATATATATATATATACACTGCAAAAAGTGAGCAATAAGTAAGAAATTGCTCAAATTTTGGCAAACTGTATCTGTTTTTATAAAGAAACAAGAAATATCTTTCTTGGAATGAAAAAATAACGCAACAGTTCTTGAATAAAGACTAAATGGCTTTGTCCCATTGGCAAATCTTGTTTTAAGACAGTCAATATGTAATAATAATGCATCGGTTTTATATAGCGCTTTTTTGGACACTCAAAGACGCTTCACATGTGTCATTATTCATTCACTCCATACACGGTGGTGATAAACTACTACAGTAGCCACAGCTGCCCTGGGGCACACTGACAGAAGCGAGGCAACCAGTATGTGCCATCGGCCCCTCTGACCACCACCAACCATTCATACACACACCAGACTCATTCTAGGCAATGGGGGTGAAGTGTCTTGCCTAAGGACACAACGGCAGTTTGGCACTTTACAGCCGCAGCCACCCCACTGTGGCTGGTGTTCCCAGAGGTTAAGTGTCTTGCCAAGGACACAACGACAGTAGTCAGTGGGAGTCGATGGTGAAAGTCCTGAGCGGGGCTTGAACCCACGACCTTCTGGCTCAAAGGCCAACGCTCTACCAACTGAGCTATTGCCGCCCTACTCAACTACTAGATTCAAGCAATTATTACCTCATGTTTGATCATTTTTTGCAGTGTAAGGATAATTTCTCAATAATCATACATCTTGTCTGGGAGTTAAAGTTAGGGTTTGTATTAGCGCTGTCTCCCATCCCAACACTGACCAAGGCCAGGCTGGCTCAACCTCCATGTATGGACTCAACGTTGACATGACAACCAGCGTGTCGACAGACTCACACAGAGACAGTGTAATGAGAATGTGAAATGTATTCTAGTGCAGACACAGGATTTCTCAGAAACAGCTGGATTTCTTTTCCCATGTAGCCCACAGCTCACAGTGGGGCCTCTGCAGAATGATACACGTTCCATATCCAACATTTACATAAAAACTGCTTTTGTGTCATGTCAGTTTGCATTTGGTTCATATATAGAACCATTCAACCAAAGAATATAAAGTCATATAATAAAACATCACACTATTTATCACATGTTTTGGCCATTTATTGTCTTTTTAGAGCAGGAGTGCCCAAACTCTTTTTCTCTTATGGGGCCAAAATAAAGATGCAATAAGCAGGGCGAAGTTCCTGATATCAGTGTGGATGGAGCTCAAAACAACTCCAGGTTTGTGTTTGATGTTACAACAAGGCTCCAAGAATCATTTAAAAGTCTCAAAATATTTCGGACTCTGCTCTGTCCTTCCTTTCACATCACAAGTGCAAAATCTCTGGTTTCTCTGAGCTTTTCTGGCTTCTCTATTTGATCCCCTTCTCTTTCCTCTACCTCCACCTCCGCTCCTCCCTCCGCGCCCTGGACTCCTGCTGACAGCTGGATTACCATCTTACAATGCGGAGCCAGAAAAATCAGTGCCAGACTAAATCATGTTTCGTCTCGTCCATGGGAATAAAGATGGCCGACTTTAAGAGTGGCACGGACGACAGCAGAGGGAGGGACCTACAGCACCATTTTAGATTTCAGACTTTTGGTTTTAATTATGTTGTTTTCCATGAAGTGCGTCTTCCACTTAAGAGTTTGCTGTAAAATAATAGCAACACATTATACACAGTGCTGTTATTGTATGACTATCTTGGATCAATAGCTTCATGGAGGCAGCAGACTTCCCTTGCCGCATATGTGCTGAAGATGGTAGGCATGACAATTGTGGGTAAAGCACTTTTGCAATAGTCTGACTCTCGCCAGACCCATGTAGTTGGCTGCACTTCACACATGAGTCTGGTACTGAGCCATAGTGGTTGGATTTCAGAAGGCAGGGCCCTGTAAAAAAAATCCTTGTATGTGATTGGATAGACCACTTGTCCGTTATCTTGAATGAAGTCTGCTTTCAACCACTCACATCGAAGCTCCCATAGGTTGCCTAATCCCAGCAAGATTTTCCAACCCAAAATCCGCGAGAGAACCCAAAAAAAAAAAACCACTCAGAATGATTTTTTGGCTAAAAACGTAATGTAATCAACTTGGGCTATCATGATTCTGTTTATTGTCTTTCTGTTTATTTAATACCTACAAGTCTCTTGGATAAAAATATGCGGGAACCACCAAACCTGGCAACCCTGCTGCATAGTGTGTAAACAGGAACACTGAACCAGTGCTTCAACCAAACTTTACAGGAACATTTGACTCTTAAAACACACATATATCAACATAGAACCATCAACATCTCGCCTCAAATTGCATTTAAAGTGACATCCAAGTCTTAATTTGATCGTATTTACTCTTTTAAAACGATTCGCGGACTTTACGTCCGCCATCTTGGATTCCTCTCGCTGCTGCATGAGAGAAGCTTGAGAAGGCAGTGCAAACCCCACGTAACACCGGCAATCCTGATTGGTCGATTAAAAAATAATCTGGGGAAGGCGTTCGCTATGGCGTCGATACCAGACCCATGTGGTTCAGCCAAACGCCTCTGGTGGAGCATGGCGGAACTACAAGGGTCTGGCAGAGCCAGGCTACTTTTGCAACACATTAGTTTCAAAATCCCATTAATACTGTAATTCAGCTTTACAATGTGAGAATAATACAGTAAATGACACGTGAAATGAGATGTGTGGTTCACAGAATAGACTTTAAAGGTTGTGGGTTCGAGCCCACTACGGGACCTTCTCCACCGACTCCCACTGTCTGTTGTCGTTGTGTCCTTGGCAAGACACTAAACCTCTGGGAACACCAGCCACAGTGGGGCGGCTGTAAAGTGCCTAACTGCTGTTAGTAGATAGTATTGACGGCGGTAGATAGCAAGTGGTGAAAAGGTGGTACTGCACCCTAAAATCCCCAGAAAGGGGACGGCGCTCTTGAGCAAGTGGTGAAAGGTGTTACTGCACTTTGTTTTTCAATGAGTTAGCTTCTGTTGGCCTGTGTGTGTGTGATAATGTTTCACAGTTGTCTAAAGTGATTTATGATCACGGTTTATTCTAAAACAAGCAGTTAGGTCAATAAACTAATTAATCTACAGGTCCTCCCTGTTAACGACACGTGTGTTTGTCTGATAGTGATGAGCGGTTGGGAGGGCGTACTAACAACAAATCAGAATGGGTGGGAGGTCTATTACAAGTTTTTCAATGGTCAAACGCATTACGGCTGTCTAAGAGTGTTTTTCAGAAACTTACTGTAGAAATATTGAGAAATATTGAGGTAAAGTAGCCATTTTGGGTCCAAAATACCTCCAAAATAGTCAAAACATGTCACTTTTGATCTACTGTAACTTATTACTGTAAAAAGGTGTGCGACTAATTTCACTGGATTCATGACCTCAAGATTGTCCTCTACCACTGTACCCCACTCCCCCCCCCCCCCCCCCCCCCCCCCCCCCCCCCCCCCCCCCCCCCCCGCCGACGACCACCACACATTGCCTTCAAACCTGTGGGAAACACTGAACAAGATTAATATTGAGACTTTGCCTGCGTCAGTGTTCAGCCGATATCGTTTGTCACCTTGACGAGAGTAGTCTCAGTGCTGTGGTGGGGTCTAAAGCCGGACTGAAATATATCAAATTAGTTGTTGATTATAAGAAATCTAGTAAGCTGTAGGTAGACAACTTTTTCTAGGAGTTTCATCTTTAACCTGTTTTTTTGTTTTTTTATCCATTTCAACTTAAACCCTTAGTACAGTTCCATCGTCTCTGCAGCTTTGTGTCAGTGGTATGCATCATTATAGATTTCAAGTGTTTTCTTAGCACCAACAAAGATCACTTACTTACTAAACAGAAACAGTGCTGCCGGTGACAGCTGCCCCCAAAAAGACTGGTTACAGGAAACTATGCTCTTGTTAATCATTTATCTAAACATTTATCAAAAGAAAACTGAAAGGTTTATAGGCATTGTATTTCAGTCTCTATAATGTTGTAAAGCCCTAGTATCACTAGACAAAGTAAAAAAAATACTATTTGAAATAGAAACTTTCCTCTCTGAAAAGTGAATGGCACTTTCACGTGTATGTTGCAATTTCTGTATTTATTTACTGTCGCTACTGAGTGATTGAGCGTCTACCTTTCTTTTGTAAAAGTGTGTTTTGTTTGGCACAGCTTTTTGAAAGACTAAAAAATCTAATTTCTCTCTCATCAGGCAATGGAGTTGTGATCCATCTTCCTGGTTTGTTCGAAGAAGCCGAGAAGAATGAGCGCAAAGGAAAAGGTGATTTTCTGTTTTTCTGCTGACTTCCCGCCTGCTAACACTGAGTGATTGTGTGTAGGTCTAAAAGGCTGGGAGGAAAGACTCATCATCTCAGATAGAGCTCACATAGGTAAGTATGTTCTGAAAAGTTTCTTTTCTTTTCATTTCAAGCAGGTTTACAAGTGTGTTCGTCTGTCCTGCTCCAGTGTTTGACTTCCACCAGGCCGTCGATGGCGTCCAGGAACAGCAGCGACAAGAGCAAGCAGGCAAGAAGTAAGACACTACCCCCAAACATACAATTTTACAAACACGATAATGGATACAAAAGGGTAAGGCTTGTGGGATTCTGGTTGGGTTTGTTGTGTTGATTTGCAACTTCTGGCATTCAGACGAGTTTACAAGGCGACAATATTCTGAAGGTGTTGCTAACTCTGCTCACTCACAATGTTTGAGATTAAGATTAAGAGAGTTATTTGTCCCACAGTGGGGAAATGTCAGTGTTGCATTAAAAGTTACAGAACAGTAGGAATGAGAGCACACAGCACAAGATAAATGAAAAATAACTTTATACTAAAATAAAATATAATCTCTAAATCTAGCATAAAAAGAAGCAGTATAAAATCTCTATCTGTCCTAAAATGTCCCACTTTTTAGCATGATGAAACAAAAATTAAGCGTAAAAACCCCTGACTTTTGCTTTATAAGGAGCAAATTTGTAACAGTAGTCAACTAATCCATGGTATTGGATTGGTTTAGTCAATAGTTTTTAGTGAAAGCCAGAGTGGGGACAACTTCATATTTACCGGGCAAAGAGCTGCTCTCACTGACAGTAATGATGCCGTGTTCGTACCAAAGCTTTAAATAGGACAGAATGTGCCATGCGTCCAAACTGCAAAGCATTGCATCTGTCCAAACTGGCTGGAAACTTTCATACTCAATTCCACTAACATTTTAATCTTATTACCAAATATTGCAAACATAATATTTGTCATTGTTAATGTCAATGGTCTGTGAAGCATGTGGACCTATGTGGGGAATGTTGATCCAAACCCCGTGGATACTGTAAGTGCCTTCAGTTTTGCAACTACTGTGATTGAGAGGGAGGATGTGTATGTGTTGACCAGGCTTTAAAAGCTTTCATCACACTGCTTTGATAACTCACTGGAATAACACTGTCACCAGGCATCCACTGTTGCTCACGGATTGTCTGGGATCAAGGCGATCTTCTGTTGGGAATAATGGTATCTCCAACTGGTGCTCTTTGCATGTTTTGATGCAGCTTGCTCATCTCCATGGCCTATACTATTGCGTGACTTTACAGTATGGCAACTGAATAGCCTGCCTCTGTTCGTTAGCCTTAAACGAACAGAGGCAGCCTTAAATGAATATTGTTGTTGAAAAAAAGGTGAAATGCCTTAATGATTTGTACTTGTTTCCTGTTACACCTCATCAGCCTCGGGACAACAAAGAAGGGCATCGGTCCAGTATATTCAGCAAAGGCGGCTCGCTGTGGCCTGAGAATCTGTGATCTTCTGTACGACTTTGACCAGTTTTCTGAACGGTAACTTGTACTGGGTCCATTATTAATTACTTTATCAAGTGAATAGTACAATAGTACAACATGTGATGTTCTTGCAGGTATAAAGGATTGGCCAAGCATTACAAAGGCATGTACCCCACTCTAGAGATTGACATTGAGGGAGAGCTGACTAAACTAAAAGTACAAATACTTAACATCCATATAAAACGCACAGTGACAACAAGGACAACATAAAACATTCCTTTTATTCAGGGCTGCATGGAGCGCATCAAGCCCATGGTGAGAGACGGTGTCCACTTCATGTATGAGGCTCTTCATGGTTCTCCCAAAAAGATCCTGGTGGAGGGCGCCAACGCGGCGCTACTCGACATTGACTTTGGTGAGTACTACATACATCTGTATATCTGGCGACATGTGTAAGTCTGATGTGCTGGGCTCATTGACAACAATTATAACTCCTGTATCTTTTGGAATCAGCTCGGTATCAGCAAACCCCATCAGTACACACACCACGTACACACACCACACACACATGCACGCACATGGACCCTACATCGCACACCATACACACACACACGGACCCCACACCACAACACACACACCTTTTCATGGTCCGTTCTTAAACTCACAGTAGGAACAAAACAACCATTGAGTTCACAATAGTGATGAGCAAGTCGCTCAGGCGTCATACCTCAATTTTAAGCTCTGAACAGCTGGAATGCGGTCAATCCAGTCTTGTTTTACAATTTTTAAAAAATCAATATCAATCAGTGCCTAAAGTTTACCACTTTTATACATGATGTGAATCGGCTCGCTGTCAGACTCACAGTAGTTACGCTGTCACTCTTTTGGATTTGTGAGGTTATGAAACTGCCCTTTGCCCTTTACATTCTGAGAAAAAACAGTTTGACCCAACAGCTGTGCTCAAGGATCAGTCTGATCAGTCATGAGCTGCTTTAAAACTGCTCAAAACAACAATTACTATATTCAGAATGTACACATTATGAGCATAACTCACTCTTTTCAGTTGAAGTATGATATTTAGTAAAGTAACTGACTGTAGCTTTCCAGAGTTTTTCACTCTAAGAGTGGTCTCTTGTAATGCTCTTTTGGCCTTAACCCAAATTTAATTTTATTTATTTATTTATTAAAGGCAGTGCTATTAATATACAGTACATCAGTGTCTCCCAAAGTGGGTCCGCGCCCCCTGGTGGGCCGCGAGGGTACTGCAGGGGGCCGCGGAGGTCATAAAAAAAATAAAAAATAATTAATTATTTATTTAAATTTATAATGTTTTGTTTGTAAAAATATTTGGGACAGTGTATTACAAGTTTGTAGCAGAGGCTTTTCCCCAAAATAAAATAACCAGAAGAGCCTATTCTTAATGTTGTCTTCTTGGTTGTTATTTTGGGGCCACGCAGACCCGTCAGATTTTTAAGGGGCCTCGGTGTTACTGAGTTTGGGAAGTACATTATACATGCCAAAAATGCCAGAATTAGCCTAAGGGCTATTTTCCATCAGTAGTCCCTGGACAGTTGTTATGTGTCCTCCTGAAGGGAATAAATAAAAATAAATAAAAGAAAAGAAAATATTGTATGTTTTGTGATTTCTATACATTGGGATTGTAACGATGCATTGTACCCTCAGTGGTGCATTAAGCTCCACAAATGTCACAATATGCCAGGTTGTAATATTGCAAGCGTGCATGTATAATATTGACGCATATAATACGTGTTCGGCTCTTGACTATTTCTCTTTATCAGAGAAGGGGAAAAGAGCCATTTGCAGTAAAATCACATTGGAATACATTTGCAAAAGTCCCCAGTGTGTACAAGACAAGTACATACAGTGCCTCACAACCTGGCATTAACATGGATTGTTTGAGGATTTGCATCAGTTAATTTACAGAACATGCCCACAACTTTGAAGATGTTGTCTTTTTTTATTGTGAAGCAAACAACAAATAGGACATAATAACAGAGAAGGTCAATGTGCATAACTATTCACCCCCTTTGTGAATACTTTGTAGAGCCACCTTTAGTGGCAATCACAGCTCCCAAGTCGCTTTGGATAAGTCTCTATGAGCTTGCCACATCTTACCACTGGGATATTTGCCCATTCCTCCTTCCAAAACTGCTCCAGCTCCTTCAAGTTGGATGGTTTGCGCTTGTGAACAGCAATCTTTAAGTCTGACCACAGATTTTCTATTGGCTTGAGGTCTGGGCTTTGACTAGGCCATTCTAACACATTTACATGTTTCCCCTTAAACCACTGAGGTGTTGCTTTAGCAGTGTGTTTGGGGTCATTGTCCTGCTGGAAGGTGAACCTCCATCCGAGCCTCAAATCCCGCACAGAGTGGTACAGGTTTTTCACAAGAATATCCCTGTATTTAGCACCATCCATCTTTCCCTCAACTCTGACCAGTTTCCCAGTCCCGGCTGCTGAAAAACATCCCCACAGCATGACGCTGCCACCACCACATGTTTCACATGTGGTGGTGACAGGGGATGTGTTCTTTGGGTGATGTGATGAGTTGGGTTTGCGCTAGACATAACGTTTTCCTTGATGGCTGAAAAGTTCAATTTTAGTCTCATCAGACCAGAGCACCTTCCTCCATACATTTTGGGAGTCTCCCACATGCCTTTTCGCAAACTCAAAACGTGCCATTTTGTTTTTTTGCTGAAAGTAATGGCTTTCCTCCGGCCACTCTGCCATAAAGCCCAACTCTATGGAGCGTACGGCTTATTATAGATACTCCAGTCTTTGCTGTGGAACTCTGCAGCTCCTCCAGGGTTACCTTAGGTCTCTGTGCTGCCTCTCTGATTAATGCCCTCCTTGCCCGGTCCGTGAGTTTTGGTGGGCGGCCGTCACTTGGCAGGTTTGCTGTTGTGCCATGTTCTTTCCATTTGGTTATGATAGATTTGATGGTGCTCCTGGGGATCATCAAAGATTTGATATTTTTTTTATAACCTAACCCTGACTTGTACTTCTCAACAACGCTGTTCCAGTACTTGTTTGGAGAGTTCCTTGGTCTTCATGGCAGTGTTTGGTTAGTGGTGCCTCTTGCTTAGGTGTTGCAGCCTCTGAGGCCTTTCAAAAAAGGTGTGTATATGTACTGACAGATCATATGACACTTAGATTGCACACAGGTGGATATCCTTTCACTATTTTTGTGACTTCTGAAGGTAATTGGTTGCACCAGAGCTTTTTATGGGCTTCATAACAAAGGGGGTAAATACATATGCACATACCAATTTCCAGTTTTTTATTTCTGAAAAATAGTTTTATGTATATATTTTTCTCAATTCACTTCACCAACTTAGACTATTGTTTTCTGAAACATCACATGAAATTCAGATCAAAAAAACATTGAACTAAAGGCTGTAATGTAACAAAATAGGTAAAAAGCCAAGGGGGGGAGAATACTTTTGCAAGTCACTGTAAATAAAACAAATTCTTAATGTTTGCAGGTACATATCCTTTTGTAACTTCCTCCAACTGTACTGTGGGCGGCGTCTGCACTGGCCTCGGGATGCCCCCCCAGAACGTCGGGGAGGTTTATGGCGTTGTGAAAGCCTACACCACCAGAGTGGGCATCGGAGCCTTCCCTACAGAGCAGAGTAACGTGAGCGTCACACACCTGCCGTCATCAACCTTTTCACAAGCGTGGACTTATGTGCATTTCTCTATTGTGATAATGCCCTCTGTGCTTGCATTTACCTTTGGGGTGGTCTACAGTATAGCATAACTGTCGCACTGTGAGTGTGGCCACTTCTCCGCAGATCTAACTTGGTCTAAAAGGTTAAAGTGGTTCTCACCCCCGGTCCTCGGAGCTTACGTTACTCACATTTCCTGTTCAAATCTTCCTCTAAATGGGCGGAGCCTGGAGGACTAAAGGGGGCGTGAACGAGACTGGGCCGTTTACATTGCTCTGGGCGGGGGGCTGCTGACGTCAGGTCTTGCTTCAGACGTCAGGTCTTGCTGCTGCGCCAGTGTTGGCGCCAGATTCAAAATTCAAATGTAGTAATACAGGTCGCCAGCAGATGGCGCCTCACAGACGGTTTTAGGCAGAAAGTTTAACTTTCAACTAATTTGCACCAAAGTGACAAAATTTTGACCAGGATATGTAGACAACACTATTGGACACTCATTTATACCGTTTATCAGCAAAAAAAAGTGGATTTGAGGGTGAGTTGTCCTTTAACATTACACTTTTAAATTGTTTAAACATTCTGCCTGTGTTAGGAGATTGGTGAGCTGCTGCAAACAAGAGGAAAGGAAGTGGGCGTGACCACTGGCAGGAAGAGACGTTGTGGTTGGCTGGATTTAGTGCTAGTTAAATATGCACACATGATCAATGGTTTCACAGCGTAAGTTTCATCATGTGACAAGAGCATTTAGTTCTATGTTCATGATTGTTTTCTTCTTAACTTTCAGAATCGCTCTAACAAAACTGGACATTTTGGATGTTGTATCAGAGATCAAAGTGGGTGTACTTTACAAACTGGAAGGCGAGCCCATACCTCACTTTCCAGGTGAGAAGTCCACTGGGTCCAGCACAGTGCTCTTTCATGTACACCTCACATCAGAAGCTAACTATCATTTATGCATTAGTTAATTCCATTTACTGATAACACACTGATCACAATCGATGTACATTGTGTGCTCAGCAAATCAGGAGGTGCTGCAGCGTGTGGAGGTGCAGTATGAAACCCTGCCTGGCTGGAACAGCGACACGTCGGCTGCAAGAAGCTTTGAAGAACTGCCAGAAAACGCCCAGACTTATGTTCAATACATCGAGGAGCATTTGGGAGTGCCTGGTACTGCATTTATACACTAGAGCAGGGGTGCCCAATGCACACATCGTGATCTGCGCGCCGATCGCAATCAGAAAGGTTACCTCTTTAATGGGCTTCGGCCTCACTGGCCTGCATGGGTTTTTTAACATGATCAGTGTGATTAGCATGATCAGTGAATGGAGACAGCCACACTGCGTGTGCGGAGCCAGAGCTGCACGCTCACAATCATTATTTAATTTATTCTTGTATTTTCCAAAATCACAACAACTCAAAGGGCGTCACAGGACCGCCAACTCACTAAAGCAAGACAAGACGGACAGGGGAGGGTCAATGGGTGAATAGCATAGACGCCGGGTAGAGCGGGCGGCACGGTGGCTGAGTGGATAGCACTCTCGCCTCTCAGCAAGAGGGTCCTGGGTTCGAATCCTGGTCGGACCAGGGCCTAAGTGGAGTTTGCATGTTCTCCCCGTGTCTGTGTAGGTTTCCTCCGAGTACTCTGGGTTCCCCTACCACTAAAAATATGTACAATAGAACTGGCATGCGCCTCCTGTTCGGCGACCCCGCTCCCATCTCTGTGTGGAGTGAGAGACAAGTGCCCAAAAATAACAATTGTAAACTGCTTTGTGACTCTGGTCTGTGAAAGGCGGTATATAAATAAACATTACTTACTTTCTTACAGACAAAGCAGACGACTTGTTCTAAAAGTATTTTTAAACTAGTTTAAGAGCATATACTGTTTGACTTTCCAACAAAATTGAGAAGTTGAATATTTATAACATTTTTCTTAGCAATCGATAAACTGCATGTGCATTGTGCACCGCTTAATCTGGAAGTAGGTCTTTGTTGGATAAACTGGGCACCCCTGTCCTCGGGCGTTTTAATTGACTGTAAATGTATATAGTTACAATATATATATATCTTTGTGTTTGTGACAGTTAAATGGATTGGAGTGGGCAAGTCTCGAGAGTCCATGATCCAGCTCTTTTAGACAAAGAGGAACCAGTCCAGAGCCCAACGGTCCCCTGGGTCTTCACACAGTCGATGTACCTGTGCCCTGCCCCGAGTGCTGCAACAGCAGACCAGACTGCGGCTCTCAGCAGACTCCCTTTAAGGTTGTGGAAGAACATGAGGAGAATACTCTTCAGTTTTCACACGCAGACATGGGGTTCTTCCCAAAAGAAACTGTCTTTAAGTGTATGTATTCTGTTCAACTATGCTGTTATGAATGTGCCAGTCTGTTTCAAATTGTTTTTAAAATAATCTGACATTTTGTCATATTTGAAGTTGACAAATCTGTGTTCTTATCAGATATTTTTAATCCAGGGATAATATACTGTCTTTACAGTTTTGGTTATAAAGGAAATTAAAGATGTTCCAAAATGTGTCTGTAAACTTGGCAGGTTTCTGAAAATGTCTAAACTAGATGTTTCTGTGAAACGCTAAGCGCCATAAAGGGATGGTGGTGCTTAGCTGTTTTAAAACTCTGTGTCAAGGTTGTGCCTTGTTCCTGCCTTGTAATTCAACAAAAAATGTATTTTATTGTAGCTATGTTTAAATTTAAAGGAGGGGATTGGTATAAATCTTTTGCACTGAGATAACTCTGAATGTATTTTATCTGGTGCCTAACACTAATCTTTGTATAAAATGATTTGCTCTTCACCAAATCAAAATCTTGCATTGAAATGCAACGATGTGTAAAATATATTGTATTGCAATGAGTTATCTTACAGCAAAATATAATTTATATCTGATTTGACAATTACAGCCTTCATTTTTATTGAACAAGAATGTTTTTATGACTGTCTACTCTTGACTTTATTTGGTGTGATATTTGTAGTAATTGTAGAAATATTAAAGTTTTTCATTGATCAGGTCGTAGTGGAAAGGAAAATAAGAGTGAAATAATGAACAATAAGTTGTTTTTCGATTTTCCAAAAAAAAATTATAATTTGCAGATAAAGTAGCATTTTAATCTACAATAAAATTATATAGTTGGAACTAATCTCGTTCAAAGGGCCAGTGCAAGTCTCCGTGTACAAATCATATTTGGCCTTTTCTGATCTTCATGTGGATCGATGAGGATGTTATGTCGTAGGAAAAAGATCTGCTCAACAGCAGAAGCGGAAAGTGTTTCTATTCTCACCACATGAAGTTTCGGCAGCGGCCTTTTTCTGACCCTTATTACAATCTAACCGATTTTCCAATCAGAAAGCAGAAATTGGCGTCACATGATCTTTTAATTTGCGTTTCCAAATTCCTTGGTGAAATCTAGCATACTGGCCCTTTACCTGAGCAGGTGGACGGGCTGCAGCTTGAGGGACGCCTATGCGTGTTGTGTGCAAGGACACTGGCAACTAATGTTTGGTCTTTAAAGAAATTCTCACCCCTGCTCCTCGAGGCTTACGTCACTCACATTTCCTGTTCAAATCTTCCTCCAAATGGGCGTAGCCTGGAGGACTAAAGGGGACAGGCTGGGGGGGAATGTTGGGCTGGTCTAGGCTGTGATTGACACTTGACAATAAAAGCAATAGTGACTAAAACGACAGTATTCAACAACAACGCTATTAACACTACACAATAATCAATAATACAAAAAGCTATGCTAATAAAAACCTACCTAAATGCTATGACTATTCGCAAACCTGACAATTCCTTCCTTCCCTCGCTAGGGGGGTGTGAACGAGACTGGGCCTGACGTCATCACTGCAGAGGTCAGGTATTACTGCAGACGTCAAGTATCGCTGCTTCGCCAATGTTGGCGCCAGAAAATTCAAATGTAGTAAATACAGGTCGCCTGCAGATGGCGCCTCGCTGACGGTTTTAGGCAGAAAGTTGATCTTTCAACTAATTTGCTCTAAAGTAATATCCTGATCATAAGTGAAATTATGATCAGGATATCTACACAACACTATTGGACCCTCATTTATACCGTTTATCAGCAGGGTGAGTTCATGTTGATCCCTGCGGTTCACGGTCACACAGATGTAAAGAAGGTCCAGAGCGTCAGCGTGTCTCCTGTCTGCACATGGACCGTGCTGTTTTATCAGGACTGCACGGCTCTGCTAAACAAGCTCCACATTCTCCTTGGGTCAATGCCACTCGGTGGAACATGGAACATAGAACATTTGCAATGAAACGGTGCGTCTTTTCACAGTACGCACTCACATGCTGTTCAATTAGAACATTAAGCATACGTTTGGAAGTCGTCTTAAGTTGACTAAACATTTCTGTTTTAATTATGTTTTATTTGTGACTCGAGTGTATTTGTCTCCTGGACCGTAGCAGGAGAGGAGACCACTGTTCATGGTTTAGTTTGCTGCAGCTGCAGGCTGTATTAAAATGTTTTGCTCTTACTGGTTTTATACCCTTACTTCCACTGCCAGTGTCTTATCTGCATGTTCAGTACACTCAGCTCTAGCTCTGATTCCCGAGGAGCTTGGTGTTCATCACTGACTCCTCGCTCATTTCAACACTTGGGAACAAAAATTTACAAAGTTCACATACATTTTGGTCATCATGCCCATTGTAATACATCGCCACATATAAAAATGTTCATGATGCCCATACGTCTGGAGACATGGACATAAAGGGACAAGATTAAGATTTGGATTTTAAATCAAAAGTTTTAAAATTCTGTCCCATAAGTATAGTAACTGACGCGTATTTACATGTTGTGAGCAGTAGAGGGCGCTCATGTCTTTCAAATGATCTCAACATCCTCCACGAGCGTCTGCCTGATCTTCCCATGGATCTATTATAGATCTGTTATAGATCTTTCTTGTTGAGTTCAGAAATGACTGAATTGATTGTAAGAGAATATATCTGTGCTGGTGCTGTGTCTTCCGTGATAAGTTTGACCTGCTGCTCATTTCCCTGACTTCACCAACTTCCTGTGCACATTTGAATACATCTAAATGAGACCAACCACCTCCAAGAAACCACAGGCGCACGCACGCGCATACATACACGCACATGTTCAAACCATGGCCATGCTGAATTTTTCTATTCACTTAATAGTAGTCTTCTCTGTGTCACTCATCACATGTCATATGACGTGGCCCTCGGTGCACACGGAGGTCCATCCTGAGACAGAGGAGTCCTGGCCCCTGTCCAAAGGCCTCACCGTGAGGCTCACTCACATGATCCCTGCCCCTCTGCCCCATGCTGTTCCTCCTAAACTTATGGTACCCTTTCCCTAAATACTTCCTTTGAGTTTCTCCTGCTGACCTCCCAGCGGACCTGACAACTGTAAAAACCATGTTGTTTTCCTCTGTGGGCTTAATGACCGCTCCATAATGACCCCTGTGTGTTGCCCTCTTGGCACAGGTCACCGTCCCTCCTGAAGTGGACAGAGTCTTCTCAAAGTCTGGGACGTCATATGTGGGAACACTTAGAACAGCTGCTCCATGCTTTCATGTGTTCAACCAGTGACGTTTGCTTGAATAAGGTTTGGAAAACTGATTTCATCATTATTTTACTGCAGCACAGGGCTATCTCTGCAAAATCCTTGTTGCACACCTCCATAAATATTTACTTTGTTGTAGGTTGAATATATGCTATTGTTAGAATCACCAACATGTAAAATTAAAAGTCATTGATTATTATGATTGTAAACATACAGTACATACTTACATCTTCAGTCTCATTTGCTCCAAAAAATATGAACAGATTATGAAAATAAAGTCCAAAACATAGACTGTAAACGTCCATAACATAACTGAGGAATGATCAGAGACTTTGTTTACAGAGCTCCCCTCACAGAGATTGACTCCCACGTGCTTCACACCTTAACATTGTAAAGTTACAAAACACATTAATGAAATGCAATAATTCAGTACATTCCAGTGCAGACAGGCTGCAGTTCATAAAAAGCAAGTCTTTGAACATGCTTTGAATGTTTTAAGACCATGATCGTTGTGTTGATAGTCTATAGATTGATTGATGCTAAACTGCTCAATGGGGATACACAATAAACAAACAAACATACATTTAGGTACAGTAATTATAAAAACATAATAATAACTAGAACGTGCACATACCCGCCAACACCATGAATCATCTGTAGATTTTAATGGAATCTTCCTATAGTTCTATCTAACCCTATGAAAAAAAACAGCAATATTTAGATGGACTCGAGTACAAGGCAGACAAAGCATTGATGTTTGTGTTTTAGAACGTGGATCTGGATGACTGGTCTCGGAGCTCAAAGCAGCTGGTTGTGTTGTTGGAGATCTGGTTTTGAAGCATATACAGAGTGAGTCAGGTGTTTTTAGTCAAAGCAGAGCCACGGGACGTTGAATGAAACCCTTGGTCCACATGTGAATGGAGGACAAGTTCAGAAATGATCATGATTTTCTGTGTTGAATGTAAACCAAATCTAACGACCATAGCCTTATAATGACTACAGACATGTGGATGACGGATGTTAGTTAGAGACAGATACTACAGACTATAGTAATTAGTTGTATGCTCGGGAAAAAAACCAAGCTAAATTGGTTCCTGTACTGTATTGGGAAGTTGGCATTGTTTAAATCATGTTGTGCACAAAATACCTGTTCGTAAAGTCTGAAGGCGACTGGCATTGAAGAGTTGGACAAGTCTCACTGAGCGTTCGCCACCTCACACGTGAGAAATGCAACAACTCAATTATGCTAGATCATCTGTTGGCTGAAAACATGAATTATGAAAACATATCAGGTGTTAGGTTCGGTAAAACATGTCAGATCACATCAGTCTGAGTCATAGTTGAGTTCAGTTGTACAGAAAAAAAGCTTCCAGCTTCCACTTTCTGGTTGTATGCTCAGGTTGTGCTCATTTCGAATATTGTTTCTGTTAGAGGTGCAAATACATTTTTCCAAGAAAATTAGAAAATAATGTAAAAGAAAATATAAGATTGGGATTCTTGAATTCAAAGAGAATTCTTAAGTCTTATTTTTCTTTCTACTTGCCAGCATCATGCATTTCTGTAATGTTTTTACCACTTATAAGGCTGTAGTTGATTTGAGCTGACAGAAGGTATGGTATAAGTGGACTCCCACTGATGTCTGCTGTCGTCGTGTCCTTGGGCAAGACACTTAACCCCACTTTGCCTGAAGCCCCCACTGAAAGACCAAGGCTATGCCATAGAGCGGCCGTCCTCCTGTGGACTCACCACCTGCAGAAGGGATCAGTGAGAGGCTGGTGCTATGTGTACTGGGTGGCATCTCTGGCCACCCTCCCAACCCAGAAATTGATTAAGGGGTAGAAAATGGATGGATGGATGGAGATAAGGTATGGAACTTTGTAACAGTTTTGCTTCATGTGGATGGACCCAGCAATTACGTAGAAATGTCTTCTTAACTAGGATAAGAAGCCTGACTTTGGACACCATACCATAGTTACCAGCACTTTTCAAGATTTTTCAACTACTGTCCACCAATCTCTTTTGATGTCACATAAACACAACCCATTGACTACTGCCCTGTTCATACCCCAGATGCACTCATATTTAGTTTCATTTAGAGCTAAAATCTCTATCTTTGGCTGAACCTGCTCGCACCTTTTTAGCCCGGTCCAGGTCCCAGATGGCCCCTTGGCCTTGGCTCCATCTCGGGGGTCCCAGCCTCTGGCCCTTGCCCCAGCTGCTGTGGCCTCCTCATGAGAAGACTGCAGCTGTTAATCAATGGGCAGCCGGGGCCAACGCCTGTCCCCCCTCCTCTGACCTTATACCCTTGCACGCACATACACACACACAGACACACACACACACACAGACACAGACACAGACACACACACACACACACACACACATATAGGACGTCTCGGGGGAACCAACAGATGGGGGTCAGCCAGAGGAGAGGGGTGTGGCCCGACAAAGCCCTCTGAAAGGTGTGTCTTTGTCACTGCTGCAGATCCTGTTGCAGCGGCGACACATGACTACCTAGTGTACGTGAGTGTGTGAGTGTTGAAGACTGGACATTTGCCTGCCGCGTGTTTCTGTGGGGGACAAGTGTTGGCGTCAGCAGTGTCCAGACACGTTTGGGCAGCTGCGGGCCGGACCCTGCCCCCTCCCTCTGACAGATGTAGCCACAGCACTAACCACCGGCAGCTCTTTTATGGGCCTGGCCTGTTTTGACTTTAAATATTTGCCCAGGAGGCGCTTGTCCAGTTTGGAGTGAGCGAGGAGGGGCAGACTCACTGACTGTGCACGTGGATCTACGTCACCTCTGTGCTCTGTCCTCTATTGGCTCTTCTACATGTATTGTTTTGTAGACCCAAAAATGTTAAGGCTTTACTGTGACAAAATATCCATAAATGTCTTTCCTGTTAATGGAAGTGGTTGAGGAAACTCTTTGGACACAGGATCCGAGGGGGTCCTGCTCCCGTGACTGATGTGTGGTCCTCAGAGTGAAGAAGGGTGGCAACTGGGAAAGAGTGCAGCAGCTGACAGCTGACACAAATGGAGCGTCAAAGACATGTGACTTCATGGCACCTTTCAGTAACTGATAACCTCCAGCAGCAACAGGCTGAAGGCTCTTTAACTCTGCCCACAGCTGCTAATGCGACAGGGACAAATACTGCAGCAGAACAAACGCTTCAGTCACAGGTTTCAGAACAGAATAAGTACATTTCACTATAGTTATTATCATTCAACATAAGCTCTAATAAATTAGCGATAAAATTTGCACTTGGTGTTTACTTTGAAATATAAGCCATAATCTATTTGCCCACATTCATAATACTGTATTCATATTTTAATTTCATCAATTATATTTCTTTCCGCTATATTAGTTGCTGGGTCAGATTTCCTGAACCAGATACATTCTCTGCATACTTCATTCAATAATTTACTTTGTATAAGTTTGAAAGTCATTTAGGTCCAATGCATTATATAGAATTTTGAAAGCACCCTCCATTTTTTGTCGACTAATCGATCTCGAGGCATGAATTTGCTTTTGGTTGACTCCAAAATGTGACATGGCTCTATACTTTAAAATGAAATGAAGAAATGTGCAAGGTTTAAATCTATATTCTCCAAATGGAAATGGAAAATAAATGACTAATAAGTAATAAGTAACCTAAAATTAACATATACAAATAATTTCTGAATTGTGTACAATTTTAAAGTCACGGTTATTATTCTTATACAGAAATAAATGCTGTATCCAATTGAAGTACAAAAAATATATATTGTTCAGGCAGCTGTTTATGGAGGACCGTGGCTGCCAAAACAATATATACAGAAATAAATAAATAAATAAATTTTAAAAAGATAAAATTTGCAAAGAAATCCATGCAATTATGAGAATAAGTGCATTTATTTCTGTATTTACTTATTTATATATTCTGCATTTATACATTTATTTCTCTATTTCTGTATTTATTTTTGTATTTATTTATTTATTTTTAGCATTTATTTATTTCTTTCTCTATTTTTTTATGTTTGCATTTATTTATTTATTCCTCCATTTATTTATTTGTTTGCATTTATTAATATTTTTTTGTATTTATTTATTTATTTCTGTATTTATTTCTGTTTTTATTTCCGTATTTCTCTTAATGATATGCAAATCATGGGGTGGGCCGGGATGCCTCTGCTGTAAGCTCATTGGTTAATCTTTTTCCTTGCTCCATAGCTTGTCCAGCATAGGCGGTCATGTTGAGATCACTGTGTTCTTGCTATAGCCATGTCAGAACAAAAAAATAAAAATAAAAATCTCAAGCATTCTTCCATATGCAACAATTGCATTGTGTGTGTTTGTGTGTTTTTTTTTATACAAATAAGTAAATTATCCTTTGCTCTGTGTCGCTGAACAGGTATACGCCGTATAAGCCACTACAAATTGGGCAAAGATAGGCTACGTATCATTCATTTGCGCAGTGTTACTTTTGCGCTTTCTGCCTGATTAAAGACCAGCCCAAACTCCACAACAAGTAACTATTTCCTCCCATGACACCGAGAGAGGGGACCGGTGGCATTTCATCCCTTTCTCTCTTTCTCAGGCACGGTTCCCTCTAACTGCGCTCGTTCTAAAGGGCCATAGTCGATCGTTTTTTGTTGCAGCGGCGCAGTATTCTGCGAAGACGCAAGGCCTAGCTCATTCAGCTGCTTTTGACATAGGTTCAAGTCTGAGTGGAAGGATGTGTTGATGAGGAGGCTCAGCTCCGAGAAACGCCTGTAGGCCTACTGACGTTTCTGCCACAAGGACTGATGCTACAGGCTGTAGTTGGTGTGGTCATTTTTGCTGTTGATTATGTTTAATGTAATGATCAGTGTGCGCCAGGGCTACGTGAATACCGAAATCTATGTACTTTATAGTAATACTAAATGTGCCCCTGCGTGGATTTCATATGCCGGGACGGAACTTTACGTAGCTGATCCAAACGGAAAATAATATAGTCAGAATCAGAATCAGTTTTATTGCCACGTAAGTAACAGGAAGTCACAGACTTGGAAATTGCTTTGGCTCAGTGCAACAGTCAGAAAGAGATAATAAAAATAAGAATAAAAAACACTTCTAAAGAATAAATTTAAATTAAAAATAGAGTTACAGTTACTATTTACAATATACAAGTGCACACAACAGGTGCACACAATGTAAGGTGACAGCAGTACAGTGAAGTAAAGTGACGTATGATGGGCAGTAAAGTGACTTTATAAAGGGCGGGGGGACAGGTTAAGAAGTGTTCAAGAGTCCAACAGCAGAGGGGAAGAAACTGTTCTTGTGGCGGGAGGTTCTAGTCCTGATGGACCGCAGTCTCCTGCTTGAGGGGAGTGGTTGGAATAGTCCATGTGCAGGGTGAGAGGGGTCGGCTGTGATACGACCAGCCCGGCCTCGAGCTCGGGCGACGTACAGGTCCTGCAGCGATGGAAGGCTGCGGCCGATCACTTCCTATGCAGAGCGCACAATGCGCTGTAGTCTCTGTTTGTCCCTGACTGTGGCTCCAGCGAACCACACGGTGACGGAGGAGGTGAGGATGGACTCGATGATGGCCGTGTAGAACTGCACCAACATCTGTGCAGGCAGCTTGGCTTTCCTGAGCTGCCGCAGGAAGTACATCCTCTGCTGGGCCTTCTTGATGAGGGAGCTGATGGTCGGCTCCCACTTGAGGTCCTGGGTGATGGTGGTGCCCAGGAAACGGAAGGACTCCACAGAGGTGATGGGGGAGTCCATCACGGAGGGTGGGGGCGGGGGGACTCTGCTCTTCCTGAAGTCCACAATCATCTCCACTGTCTTCTGGGCGTTCAGCTCCAGGTTGTTACCACTGCACCAGGACACCAGCTGGTCCACCTCCCTCCTGTAGGCGGACTCATTGTTGTTGGAGATGAGTCCAACGAGGGTGGTGTCGTCCGCGAACTTGATCAGCTTCACATAGTCGTGGCTGGAGGTGCAGTGGTTGGTGTACAGGGAGAAGAGCAGGGGAGAAAGAACACAGCCCTGTGGGGCTCCTGTATTTATAATCCGAGAGTCCGAGACATTCTTCCCCAGACGCACTCGCTGCTTCCTGTCCGTCAGGAAGTCAGTGATCCACCTGCAGGTGGAATCAGGCACGTTGAGCTGGGAGAGCTTGTCCTGGAGCAGGGATGGCAGGATTGTGTTGAAGGCAGAGCTGAAGTCCACGAACAGGACCCTGGCGTAGGTCCCTGGGGAGTCCAGGTGCTGTAGGATGTGGTGGAGGGCCAGGTTAATGGCGTCGTCTACAGATCTGTTGGCTCTGTAGGCGAACTGCAGGGGATCCAGGAGGGGGGAGGTGAAGGACTTGAGATGGGAGAGAACCAGGCGTTCAAATGACTTCATGACGACAGACTTAAGTGCTACAGGTCTGTAGTCGTTGAGTCCTGTGATCCTGGGCTTCTTCGGCACGGGGAGAATGATGGAGGATTTGAAGCAGGCCGGGACATGGCAGGACTGCAGAGAGGTGTTGAAAATGTCCGTGAACACAGGAGTAAGCTCACTGGCAGTATCTCAGAGTGGCCGGAGACACGTGGTCCGGGCCAGGAGCTTTGCGGGGGTGCAGCCTCAAGAAGAGTTGTTTAGTCTCTTTAGGGGCTATTGTTAGGCTGGGGGCAGGGCTGATGGGTGGGTCGTTAGAGTAGTGGGGGGTGGGGGAGGGAGAGGTGTCAGGGGCAGCATCAAAGCGACTGAAAAATAAGTTCAGTTCGTCAGCTAGCTTGTGGTCGTCAGCACAGGGGGGGGGGGCTTTGAGTTTGTAGTGATCTCCCGTAGGCCCCTCCAGACAGAAGCAGTATCGTTGTTACCAAACTGCTCCTGTAGTCGTTCTTTGTGCCGGGACTTGGCTGCTTTCAGTTCTTTCCTGAACTGATATTTAGCTGCTTTGTACCCGCTGCGGTCCCCCTCCCTGAAAGCAGACTCCTTTGCTTTCCTGAACTGCCGGAGTTTAGCAGTGAACCAGGGTTTGTCATTGTTATAGATGACCCTGGTTCTTGTTGGAATGATGCTATCCTCACAGAAGTGAATGTATGACGTCACAGTGTCCGTCTATTCAACCAAACTATCTGTGGCAGCTCTGAAAAGGTCCCAGTCTGTAGATTCCATGCATGCGCGCAGCTCTTCCACAGCTTCATCAGACCACACTTTGGAGCTCCTCACTGCAGGTTTCGAGAGCTTTAGTCTCTGTCTGTAAGCAGGAACCAGATGTATCATGGAGTGATCTTAGAAGCCGAGGGCTGGCTTGGGAACAGCGCGAAAAGCTCCGCGCACGGTGGTGTAACAGTGATCCAGTGTTCTCCTCTCTGGTCGGGCATTTGATAAACTGTCTGTATTTGGGTAATTCCTGGCTCAAGTTTCCCTTATTAAAATCCCCCAGGATAATAATCAGAGAGTCCGGGTATAAACGTTCCATACACAGTACTTGCTCTGCGAGTGCGCGCTGAGCCTCGCGCGCGTCCGCGCATGGCGGTATGTAAACAGAGGCAAGAATGAATGAAACAATTTCACGAGGGGAGTAAAATGGTCTACAATGAATGAAAAAATATTCCAGAGCAGGAGAACAGTGCTTGGAGATCACTGTCACATCGTTACACCAGTTTATATTGACGTAGAAACACAGCCCTCCGCCTCTGCTCTTCCCTGAGAGCGCACAATGGCGATCCGCGCGGAACAGCCCAAAGCCCTGCAGCTCCAGAGCGCAGTCCGGGATCCGCTCATTTAGCCAG